AGACTATTTTTCAGACTCTTGTTTTTCCAACCCAGAAATGGAATTAGACCAGAGGATACTTAGCAACCCTGAACAGGAGCACTTAGTAAGATAAGATTAGATAAGATTCTCTGGTCTGATGAGGCGAAGATTGAACTGTTTGGTGTTAATTCTAAGCGGCATGTGTGGAGAAAACCAGGCACTGCTCATCACCTGTCCAATATAATCCCAACAGTGAAACATGGTGGTGGCAGCATCATCCGATGGGGTGTTTTTCAGACGACTGTCCCTGCACTTAGCAGAGGACATCTCTGCCAAGTTTTCTGTAGGGAGCCCTGATATCTATCTGCATTTTTAATGTAAAAGTTTAAGTACATGGGTATGAAGTGATTTATGTAAATGCACAAAATTTATGTAGAAAAAAACAAGATGTCAACCTGTAGGTACAAAATGCAGCTGAAATCTGAAAACTGATTTCAGGTTAATCTGAAGCTATCAGATTAATAGTTTCAGCCATTTGGTGCTGAAACTATTAATCTGATTAATTATCAGAATAATCAATAGATTAATTGATAACTCAAGTAATCGTTAGTTGCAGCCCTAATAAAAAATATAATATCTTTTCACATTAAAATATATGTCTACAAGAGCAAAATCACAGACCTAGTGTCAGGTTTAATGCATTTACATTGGCATAGTAATTTGGTTTCTTCCTGATAGTCATGAAAAGCAGTGAATGCTGATGTGCTGCAGGATAACCGGCTGCATCATACAGAGCAGGTTAAGTCACCAAGCAGTCAGTGAGAATCATTCCCAGTTTACCGTTTAAGTCAGTACTTGATCCTGTCTACCTGAATGAAGTGTTATCCCACACTGATTGGGATTAAACTTCAGCCAGTCCAAACAAAGGGTTTAACACATGTGCCAAGTTACTTCATAAAATAATGTTCTTTATTCAGATTGTGAGAAGTGAGATCTGTTAACAGCTACAGTTCATAAAGAAATGTTTCATAGTGTGTTTGTCTTGACTCTGGCTCATCAGCTCGAGGCGGATGGTGTGTGAACGGTTAGGATACGGCCACTAACTGCCTCCTCATCTTCCAAGTCTGAAATGTTAATATTTCTGTTGCTCACACAGAAGATTTAATTCATCCCTTTGGTTTCCTCGGCTATATACAGTAAATTAATAATTTTAGAAATTCATACTGGGTTTGTAGCATTGAACTAACGTAGAAAATACTTATTCCATATTATTCTAAGAAGTCCTTTCCTACTGAAATGTTGCAAGGCAGCATCAGTAAAGACACATTTTTATTCTAATCACATATTTGCAATGGTTTAACTAATGTACTGATCCAAAATTACTATTTGACTTCAGTGAAATTGTCATTCTTCCTTTTCCTATATTGGCTTAATAACAGATTTATGTTTTTGCTACAGTATAAACCCAGCTTTATTTGAAATTTAATTTTGTATCATAATAGCAGACAAACATTTAAGGTTTTACATAAAAGTGCAAATGTGCTGAATTTCAAAGTTTGTTTCTTTTAAAAGAAGTCTGACTTTACTGAGAAGAAACTACCGATTGGTTCAGATTGTGATTGAATAATCTGAACCAGTCTGTTCAGATTGTAATTGGTAATTGGTTCTGTAATGTTTTCTCTTTTTTTTCTCAGTTTTTTGGTGTCAGTAATCTACTCCAAAGCTAAGCTAGCTTCAGCCTGTGGAGGAATCATCTACTTCCTCAGCTATGTGCCCTACATGTATGTAGCCATAAGGGAGGAGGTGGCCCATGACAAGATCACTGCCTTTGAGAAATGCATTGCTGTAAGGCCACTTCCTTGTTCTTCATGTGTTGCTGTTGTACTTGTGCTGCTGACTCATAGTGCATGTGTTCTCTGTTGGTTCCAGTCTCTCATGTCCACCACAGCCTTCGGTCTTGGCTCCAAGTATTTTGCCCTGTATGAGGTGGCAGGTGTTGGGATCCAGTGGCGCACCATCAGTCAGTCACCTGTAGAGGGCGATGACTTTAATCTGAGCCTTTCCATGATGATGCTCATTATAGATGCTGGGGTGTACGGTGTGCTAACCTGGTACATAGAAGCTGTTCATCCAGGTGGGAAAAGACTGCTTCCTGAATCCTGGACCATTCTTATCTCATTATAACACAACTTTAACTCTTCCTCTACCTGTAGGGATGTATGGGCTGCCACGCCCATGGTACTTCCCTCTGCAGAGATCCTATTGGTCAGGCAGTGGGCGTGTTGAGACCTGGGACTGGCCCTGGTGTGGAGGAGGATCTGCCAGGCTCAGTGTGATGGAGGAGGACCAGGCATGTGCCATGGACCAGCGCCGGTCCGGTACGGAGAACTCAACTTTATTATGAACTTTTGATGAGGGTTTTCATGTTCTACAGGTTAAAAAAGACCAAAGACTATAATAATTAATAACACAAGGCTTCTCTGAAAAAGTGTTTCTGTGAAAAATTTCAAAACTTCAGTTAAAAATGAAAATGGAATCAATCAATCAAATTATATTTGTATAGCACATTTCAGCAGCAAGACATTTCAAGGTGCTTTACATAATTAGTTGTCAACAATTTTATTGAGGGATCAGACCTGGACAATGAAACATCAGCAATACAAATTTGTCCTCATTTTTCCATATGTGAACATAAAACATCAGACAATACGAAAAACAAAACAGAAATGATGTCAACAAAAACACTCCCATGGCCCACCCCCCTCCCTTTCCCTCCCTTTCCCTGGGAATATATCTTAACACACCGAGGTTCAGATCAAATCCTCTTCAAATAGAGTTATCAATATATTGCAGAAGGGGTTGCCAAGTTTTATTAAATTGCTTTAAATTATTTGCTAATGAGAACCGTAATCTTTCCAAATGAGAGAGCCTTACCATTTCCTCAAGCCACAACTTAGCAGATGGAACTTATGCTTTTTTCCAAAACATCAACTCTAGTTTTTTTTCCTATGATCAAGGCATAAGATTGTTGTTGGCATTTATTAAACTGAAAAAGCTGACCAGAAACTCCGAGTACAATCAGAAGTGGGTCCAGCCTCAGCTCTGTATGGAACATATCTGATAAAGTTTTGAATACACCAGACCAAAATGGGGTTCATTTAGTACACAGAGAGTAAGAGTGGAGAAGCGCGGCTTCTTCAATATGGCATTTATCGCACAATGGGGATGTGTTAGGAAAAATTTTATGTAGTTTCACCTTACAGTAATGAAGTCTGTGAATTGAAGAAGACAGTGTCTGGAGTTAGCAGAGCACTTATGTATATTCTCTAAAGCGGCCTTCCAGAGTTCATCACTTATCTCGGTTCCCAATTCCTGTTCCCAGCCTGTTCTAAGGCCCTGCCTGGACAGCGAGGATCTGAGTAATAACATATTGTAAAACTGAGAGATTAGATGCCCTTCCCCACCACCCAATTTAAAAAGCTCGTCAAATTCAGTAGGTATTATATTCTCTAAAGTGTGTGTGTGTTTTTTAACATGCGCCCTGACCTGTAGGTATCTGAAATGATTGTGTTTATGGAGACCAAATTTGGCCTGAAGTTGAGAGAGAGAAGCAAAATTGTATGTAACCTGAATCTAAAGTGGAAGGGACGAATGAGGGATTCTTTGCTATTGGTAATAAGATGGACATAGACTCATTGCCAAATTGGGATTTTATTTGTTTCCAAGTACGTATAATACTGTGGATGATGCAGTTATTGTTATATGCTGAGGCGTCTATAGTTGTTGGTGACAAAATAAGAGCACCAATTTCATGAGGACTTCAGTCTTCCTTTTCCATTATGATCCCCTTGCATTGTATAAAATTGCAATCTAGCCACATTGTAATGGTGCGAAGCGCACAAGAGTAATAGTAAAATAAAAAGTTTGGGGGGGCCAGTCCACCCTTTGATTTTGCCTTGCAAAGACGAGCTTTACTAATTCGGTGCATTTTATAGTCCCATAGAAATGGAATGATTATAGAGTCAAGTTTCTTAAAAAATTTCTTAGGTAAAAGGATAGGAATATTTTGAAACAGATAAAGGATCTGAGGGAGAAAGATCATTTTAATTGCATTAATTCTTCCCACCAGGGAAATAGGAAGATATTTCCAAAACAGAATGTTATTTTGTAGCTTTACCACAAGGGGGGAGAAATTAGCTTCATACAGTGAATTAAAATCCCTAGTAATCTCTATGCCAAGGTAGGTGAACTTATTACTAACTATTTTAAAAGGCATACTTTCCAAGATCGAAGAGTCTTTGAGCTTAATTGGCATCAACTCACTTTTAGACCAGTTGATCCTATAACCGGAAAACCTGCCAAACTGAGAGATTATGTCTAGGACAGCTGGTACAGTACACTGAAGATTGGTTATGAACAAAAGGATATCATCCGCATATAAGGAAATTTTATTTATTGTCCCTTTAGTAGTATATCCCTGTACAAGGGGGTTAGCGCGAATTGATTGTGCAAGTGGTTCTAGGGCTAAGGCGAAAAGTAAGGGTGACAGCGAGCAACCCTGTCTGGTACCCCTATATAATTGGAATGCAGGAGATAATGTCTTATTGGTGACAATTCTAGCACAAGGTTTGTGATAAAGGATTTTTAACCATTTTTCAAAATCATCACCAAGGTCATATCTTCTCAGGGTCGTGAAAAGGTAGGGCCATTCTATTTGGTCAAAGGCTTTTTCTGCATCGAGGGAAAGGACAGCTAAATCAGAAGTTTCCTCCCTCTGAGAGTAGATCACATTATAAAGACGTCTCAAATTGAAGAAAGAGTGTCTGTTTGGTATAAAACCCGTCTGATCGGGATGAATTAATTTGTCAATTAATAAACTCAACCTATTAGCTAGAATTTTAGCAAGTATTTTTTGATCATAGGTCAGCAGTGATATTGGTCTGTAGTTACCCACTTCCTCAGGGTCCTTATCTTTTTAGGGTATTAATATTACAGTGGCTACTCTCATAGTAGGCAGTAGTATGTTATCTAAGTTTGCTTGGATATACATTTTTAACAAATATGGTGATAAAAGGTGACTAAATTCTTTATAGAATTCCCCGGGGTATCCATCGGGACCAGCCGATTTCCCATTTTTAATGCTTTAATAGAAACCTGAATATCTATGCAAGAGAGATTTGCATTAAGAGAGCTCTTGTCTTCTTGAGTTAAGGTTGGGAGATTACAGCTATCTAAAAACTTCTGTATAAGTAAGTCATCTTTTACAGCATTGGAGGAGTACAATGATTCATAAAACTGTTTAAATCTATGATTAATGTCTTTGTGTGAGGTTAAAATTTCCCCATTTTCTGATTTGATTTTGTTAATTGTACGGTCACTTTCCATTTTCCTTAATTGTCTTGCCAATAATTTATTAGGCTTTTCTCCAAATTCAAAATATTTCTGTCGTGTAAAAATAAAAGCTCTAGTGATATTATTTGACAATAATTGATTGTATTTATATCTTAGAGAAAGAATTTTTTTATGAGTTTCTGTAGAGGGGTGTGTAGCGTTATCCTTGTCCAGACACCTAATTTGTTGCTCTAAATCTACCAGCTCTGCTCGGTTCCTTTTCTTCCTTGCTGCTTGAAAGGATATAATACCTCCCCTTAAATAGGCCTTCATAGTTTCCCACAATATTGAAGGAGACGTTCCGGGAAGGTCATTCATTTCAAAGAAAAATGTAATCTGCTCTCTGATAAACTTGCAGAATTCTGGTTCTTTCAACAATTTTGGGTTTAATTTCCATGTCCTTTCGGTCTGGTTCAAATTATCTAAATGTAAATCTAAAGAAAGGGGGGCATGATCTGAAATTGCTATATTGTGATATTTTACTTCACTTGTATAGGGCAATAACTTTCCATCCAACATTAGATAATCAATTCGTGTGTACACATTATGAACATTTGAGTGAAATGAAAAGGCTCTCCCCTGTGGGTTAAAAATCCTCCAGCTATCGAACAAATTAGAGTTATTTAGGTATTCCTTAAAGAAAATACTAGCTTAAGAGGCCGCTGCTCTACGTGTTGATGAACGGTCTAAGTATGGATCTAATACAAGATTTAGGTCCCCTCCAATGATTAGATTAGTCTACGAAATGTCAGGTATTTGGGCTAAAACATGTTTGTAAAAAAGAGGAGAGTCTATGTTGGGGCCATGTATATTAACCAGAGTTATAGGAACAGAATACAATTCTCCAACTAGTATTAAATATCTACCTTCCTTGTCGGATATGGTTGACTTATGGATAAAAGATGTACCTTTCTTGAATAATATTGCCACGCCTCTAGCTCTCACTGCACAAGTAGAATGATAAGCTTGCCCTGTCCACCTGCATCTCAGTTTTATGTGCTCATTCTTGTTAAGGTGGGTTTCCTGAAGAAAGATTATGTCACTAGACATTGTCTTTAAGTGTGCTAATATCATACCCCACCTCACAGGATTATTCAAACCTTTAACGTTCCATGTGACCAAAGTGACTTGTCCCCCCTTCTTTGTTTGTGTTACATCAACCTGCATAACTCGGATTAAAATGAGAAAGAGTTTAGAATTCCTCACGAGTGTGATAGAAACGATTAAACATGGTATCTAAGTCCCAGCCCACCCTCTCGAACAAAATACTTACTGTCTTGCCTAAAAAACAAACATAATAAAATTAAAAACTTACTCACCTTGGGCTTCTTCTGTCAGTCATCATAATGTTATGCCTAAACAGTGTGAGCAACTGTTCACCAGCCCAATGTAGATCCAACTATATTCAAGAGCTGCAAAATATATCTAATCTGAGTGTCACTGGATTTTTTCTCAATTAAAAACAACACAGCATGCCTCGAAAACAATTCTTTTAAACAGTAGCACATAGTACACACATCTTCTTATAAAAGGCAGTGGTTGCTGATTGGATTGTTGCATTTGATTTAAGGACTGGGACAATTTACACAGGTGGGCCACAGACATAACAAAATGCCACTTGCACTGGGACAGGATGAACAATAAATCACTTATCATTTATAGACTTTAAAATAAAAACCGTGAAAACGCAGTGGGACAGTGAATTTTTAATTCAAGTGAAATCAAAATTTCCTAACAGTGCAGAAAACAATAACTAATTTGTTCAAAAAAAAACAAACAGACAGTGATACCCAAAGTTACTGCAGATGCTACAAGATAAAATTATTTATCAATGTTTCTACATGCCAGCAGAGGTGGAAAGTGTACAAAAATAAGATAAGCTACTCAAGTAAAACTACAGTTATTTTTGATAAAAATGTGCACTTAGTACCTCTTTACAATTGTACTTTAGTTACTTTGTGATGAGCAAAACAAAGTTCAGCTCATCACAAAGGAAATGAGGACATGTTGGTGTTAAGCTATATTTATGTAAAGGAGCACATTTATAAATAAAAAAGCAACAGAAAATATTATGTGTATTTTAATGGGACATTGATTTCCAATATATTATGTCAGCTGCTGTTTGTTACTCCCATCTAATAGTTTTAAATAAACGACTCCAAACCCGATTTTCTGTTGTCAGTTTTAGTCAATACAAATTATAATCACAAGTACCTCATAAAATTGACATTTTCATTTGTTGTTAAAATATTATTCAAGTATACAATGTATGATAAACCTGCTGCCTATGCTTACAGTTAAACCGATGCATTAAATTCAGCAAGGGCTTTTCTTTTTCTCAGAAGATAACTTGACAGGTTTTCCTTGCTCCTCTGTCTTCTCATTGATGCAACACTATAAGAACCCAGCCAAAAGATCAATGCCATTTTTTCTGCCATTTTCTTTTTTTATCTTTACTCTGTAGAGTAAAGATAAAGTAATCTTTACATTAATGGATATGATTTCAAATGTAACTGAGTAACTTTATTCAAAACAAATTCAAGGAAAAGTCCTTTAAGTTTGTAAATAACTTAAAAGACAGGTAGGCTATAATACAATAAAAATATTTATGATTTTATTTGTTTTGGTTCGCTCAATGAGCCACTGACGATTTTTGTCATAGTACTGGCAAGAATTGCAAACTACTTTCACCCCTATAAATAAATATATATATTTAAATGGACAGACAGACATCATGTCGTGACTATGTTGTCTTTGATTGGGTTAACTGTTAGTGATCAGCATTGAGCTGCTGGCGGATGTTTAGTGTAACATGGAGCAGAAAGCTGACATCGTTTGTCCCTACATCCATTAGGTGGCGCAGGTTGCTACAAATGATGGTAGCCACACAGGCACACCCTCTAGAAGGAAACAAACACTCCCAGTACAACACTTTCATTCTATTGGCTGAGAGGTTGCCAGGCAACACTGCATTTTGTTCCTACAGCAAGCAGAGGATGGTTTGTAAGTGAGCAGAGAGTTCTGCAAGAGCACCAGGAGAAGTTTTGAGTACAAACATACAAGTTTTGAGAAGAAAGACATGAAGTCCTGTTTTCAAAATGAACATGTAAGCAAAAGTATTAAAAGTTTCGAGAAGAAAAGATATAATCTTGCTTTCAGACTGGAAATGTGTGCTCTCGAATTATGGCAGAAAAATTCCCCCATAGCGATCAACCAGAAAACTGCAGTCGGTGCATCCCTAGTTTAAGATTGATTCATATCTTTGGCAAATTTGTATTTGTCTCTTAGAAGACACAGAAAATGAAAACAAGTCTAATTTGGTAGCAGTATTTCTGGTTTTACCAGGTGTAACAAGGTCAGAGTCACAGTTTACTCTGCTGGGTGGTTTACAGGAGAAGATCTAAGCAAAAAATGCCAAATCAGTTCTTTTTAATTGGAGTTAAGATCCTGTTCACAGCTGGCACTATTGCATGCTTCTTTAGAGATAACATGTCCTTTCAGGCTTATAGATGGGTGTGAATGCATTCAGGTCACATTCTGGACCTTTCCCTAAAACACCTTCAGGTTTGAGCTGGAACTCTAACCTACATGGAATACTGGAAAGGCAGGATGTTGATGACGATGCCAGTTTTAAAAAACAAGGTTCTCTTCACTGGGAGGTCTGTGTTGGTCAGCTAATGTCAGAATGTGGTCGAGTGAGAGAAGTTCTCTCTTTGTATTTGTATTTTCTAGTATTCTTGGTGTTGACTAGACCCACTGTGGGTCACCACTTTATAAAATGACTCCTGCAAAATGTCCAGTCACTTCTGCACAATGTAACCTGCCTTCACTAGAAAATAAATGACCAGGAGACAAAAGCTGTGAGCTGATTCTGAGCATCATTTATTCTGGGTCTCGTGAATATGACCAGTTTTCTGCAGTAAGAATACCACAGAACCGCACACTAACTGTCTTTATGAAGAACTACATGTTAGTACTTGCTTAAATAAAGAAAGATCAGAGAAATGTCTGTTTATCGAGTTTGTGGCAATTTTGTCATAACATCAACCTTTTATTCAAATGATATCTTTCTATATTTTATTCATTTTACTCTATATCTTCAAGCAACTTTTATTCCAAATTTAGAAAGAGCTAAAATCACAGTGACGAGGTGAGATAGGTTAGAAATGAGTTGCATTGTTTATACTATTTTTTAAAGTGTTGTTGTGGTCCTGTGTCATCTGTGACTGCAGAGGAGATGCGGGGCATGGAGGAGGAGCCGAGTCACCTGAGCCTGGTGGTCTGCATAGACAAACTGACCAAGGTGTACAAGACTGGCAGCAAACTGGCCCTCAACAACCTGAGCCTCAACCTCTATGAAAACCAGGTGGTCTCCTTCCTGGGACACAATGGAGCTGGAAAAACCACCACCATGTAAGGAGGAAGCCAAACTGTGTTTTTGCTTTAATGGAGGATCTCATTGGTTGTATTTATGTTGTGATTTAGTGAGAATGAAGAAGCACACAAAACTGCAGCCACTATCAGATCACATCTTAGAACCAGTTAGATCATTGTGTTCTTGCCTGGATAGCAAACCCTGTGCAGACCACTCTGCAGCCAGAGATCAGAGATGTTTACGAAGCATTTGGCAATTATACAGAAATGTGTCAAAACACGGCCACATGCATAATAAAGACCTAAAAAGTCAAAAGAAGCATTATTCATAAATTCAAGGAAATTATGGACAACCCTGACCATCCTCTTCATGACACTGTCTTGAGTAAGCAGACTATCTTCAGTCAGAGGCTTCTTCAAATTCACTGCAATGCAGACTGCTACAGGAGATCTTTGCTGCCAGCAGCCATCAGTGTCTACAATAACTCTGAAGAATTTGAATTGATATGAGTTGCATTAACATCAATAAATCAGTAAAGTATTTTTGTTTTAAATATAATTTGAATTTGAAAAAGGCATGTTGTGTTTTTACTGTTTCATCAGGCAGCTTGGACAGCCCCTCATCCATTTCTTAATTTGCTTCAAATGCTGCTTTAAAATTACATCCCACAATAATTTCAGTTTGTCCCTCATCAAAATAACCAGAATCATTAAATCGTTTTCTTCTAACAAATCAGCCTCATGGGCCGTTTCAGTTCAAATTATTTATATTCAAACTACTATGATCAGACTATTTGCAATAAAATCATTTGGATAATTTTCGGAAAAAATACAGAACGAAGGTAATTATTTACACATCAATCATTAGATCAGTCACTCCAGACTGAATTTGGCTCATAGTGGCAGAACCCACAAACCATGCTTTTCATGTGTGTCTCTGTCCTCATCAAAGGTCCATCCTGACAGGCTTGTTTCCTCCCACCTCCGGCTCTGCCACCATATACGGCCACGACATCCGCACCGAAATGGATCGGATCCGTCAGAACCTGGGCATGTGTCCGCAGCACAACGTTCTGTTTGATAAGCTCAGTGTAGAGGAACACCTGTGGTTCTACTCCAGGCTCAAGGGCATGGCAGAGGACGACATCCGCAAGGAGATGGACAAGTGAGTACCAGCCTGCTGTGCCTAGTGCAGCTCCATGTTGCTGTCAGCTCCCACTGTGCAGACATTGAACTTTGTTTATTGTTGAAAGTCAATGTCTCTTGGACATCAGCTGCTAACAATAGTAAAGTATTTCATTGTGTTCTACCACAGCCTGAATTTAACAGTGAGTGAACCTTGGCATAAGTGTAATATAAGTACACCAAGTTCATTTTGGTGGGTTTCATTTTCTACAGTACTGTACACAGTCAGACCTTCCTTGGATCAGCTTTAGCAACTATCTCTATATTTCTGAAGGAATCAACACATAAGGCCTTGAAATATGAGCTCTTAGAATTCCCTGCTTTATGCTCACTGAGTAAATGTGAAAGCAGCAGAATTCTGTCTGCTTGTGGAATTAAGCTACAAATCAGAATAGGACTGCAACCTGACTGCAGCTGAGTCGATGGTAAATAAGCAGTCGGGCTTCTATCACCTGAAGAACATCTCCAGGACTAGAGGACTAATGTCTCAGCATCTAGAGAAACTCATCCATGTTTATCTTTAGTCGCATTGATTCCTCCAGCAGCGTCTTCACAGGTCTGACTAAAAAAATCAATCATCCAGCTGCAGCTGATCCAGAACGCTGCTGCTGCTGTTCTGACTAAAACCAAGAAGATAGAAAACATAACACCAGTGGTTTTTTTTAGAATACTTTATTTTGGATCTTTTAGTAACAACATCATAATTGTTAACTGACAGGACAAAACTGATTCAGGATCAAGTAAAATTCAAACAATGATTCAGAGATAGGGTGAGAGACAAATGGTTATCAGTATTGCTCATAGATCCTGTCGAATCCAGCTCGTGAATTGGAAGTGACTGAAACATGTATAGAAACCTAGGGAGGATATTCATCTTTGACATTAATTCTACTAAGTAATGTGAGAAGTAAATCCATCCATTTTCCTAAATCCTCACTCCCCTTCTGAAGGAGGCTAGCTAAGTTGAGTTTAAAGAGATTTTTAAGATTTCTATCAACAAACATCCCTAAATGTTTAAAACCCTCAGGAGACCATTTGAAATTAGACATGTTTTTAACTTTACTGTGGTCAAATACAGACATCAATAAAACCTCACTCTTTTCCACGTTAACTTTGTATCCAGAAAATGAGCTGTATTTACTCAGTAGTTCCTGAAGGTGACACAAAGAGCGTTCTGGATTGGTTACAAATAAAATGATGTCGTCCCCAAAAGTGAAATCTTGTGCAATGTCAGTACCCATCTCAAAACCACTAATATTATGATTTATTCTAATGGCCTCAGCCAATGGCTCGATGGCAAGCACAAAGATGGCGGGACTAACTGGATCTCCCTGTCTGTTGCCTGTTTACAGCCAAAATGACTCAGAGGTGATCCCATTGGTAACAACTCTAGCTTGACGGGATCTATAAAGAGATTGTATCAAATTGACAAACCTGTCATCAAAACCAAATTTCTTAAGGACAGAAAAGAGGTATTGCCATTCAACCTTTCGGCATCAAATGAGGCGGCCACACTTGGCATCTTTTTTTTGTTAATAATATGTATTATGATAAATGCCTCAAATTATTAGTGGAAAATCTATTTAAAATAAACCCTGTTTGATGCAGGTTGATAAGTAAAGGTAGAAACGTTTCCAATATTTTTGCTATCATTTTTGTAACTAAGTTATAATCTGTATTAAGGAGTGAGATTGGATGACTGTTATATGGATGACTGTTATAACAGCTTGAGTGAAGGAGTCTGGGAAACACCCATTCCTTCCATCTTGCTCAAGGACAGGGTCCCCAAACCTTTTCCTTTGAGGGCCACATAACTTTTCCCTTCTCTGGTGGGGGGCCGGAGTCAGTTTGTAACAGAAAAAGTATGACGATTGCAGGAGTGTCTAAATGTAAAAATGTATTGTTTTCCAGAAAGCACAATCAAATAACCCTCTCTGGGTTCTTCACAGAAAAAATCCAGGAAATAAATAAATAACACTATTTATGAAATAAATACCATATTTTCCAGATTATAAGCCACACCGGACTATAAGTCGCAACCCCAAAGTTTTTTTTTTTTCTTGTTTTTTTTAAACCACTAAACATAACATTTTTGTAACATTTATAGTTTATTTAACAT